AGTTAACACCTTAGCCATCAGAAGGAAGAGCAGTAGCTAGATCCTCCCTTCACGAAGTAATGCCTTACGGCGGTTTCCATGAGGGATTAGAGGAAAGAGGAAAGGGGTTTAGGGTTTAGTGGGTAGGGGCGTTAGTGTCGAGTTTTAGTACGACGCTTCGTCGAGTCGCCACATATCCAGGCCAATAACTATGCCTAGAATCCGTAAAAAGGATTCCCCCCCCCCTGAAGGAAAAAAAAAAAACCACGTTTGCAACAGAAGTCCTCAAAGACTTGCGTTCCACCGAAAGAAGGAGAACAAATAGCAGAAGATAGAAGGAAGGTAGTTAACACCTTAGCCACCAGAAGGAAGAGCAGTAGCTAGATCCTCCCCTCACGAAGTAATGCCTGACGGCGGTTTCCATGAGGGATTAGAGGAAAGAGGAAAGGGGTTTAGGGTTTAGTGGGTAGGGGCGTTAGCGTCGAGTTTTAGTATGACGCTGCGTCGAGTCGCCACATATCCAGGCCAACAACTATGCCTAGAATCCGTAAAAAGGATTCCCCCCCCTAAAGGAAAAAAAAAAAAAAACAACACACACACACACACACACACACACACACACACACACACATAGTGACAACCTCGCGGGGATAGTCAGGGAAGCTTCCTGTAACCTTAAAACGTCGAGATCTGATGAAAACTCGATTTTTGCAAAACGGGGTAAAACCAATAACTTCCCGATTTTTGAAAATCTTCGATTTTCTTAGCGGGAAGTCAACAACAAAGGAATTGAAAGAAAATGCCTGTCTTTTGTTCTTATTGCCGGGAAAAAATGTATATAAAAGCAAATCGTAAAAAAAATGAGCAAGGGTTGATAAAATTCAAGATATAAGTAGCCTATAATGGAATAAAATACCATCTATGGAAAATTTCGCGTCGAATTGTCGCAGCCCCATCACGATAGATTTAGTAGTTTTGACGTAATTGAGCGTCAAAGGAACACTATTTTCATATCATTCATTATACATATATAGTTAACCAAGTTCTTGTCATCCGAATAGTGCCTATAATTCTAAACCAGTTTTTATTATAATTTGGTGTACGTATTCAGTGGGTAATTACTTTGAACGAGATAAATGATGATAAATATCGATTGAATTTCGAAATGACAGCCACCTAAAATTTTCGAAATCATGAAAATCGCGATTTCCACGGTTTTCTTGGGATATTATTTTTGATTGAGAAGAGATAGCTTATTTCTGGCAATTTCATGTTAAAGCTTATAAATTTTTCTTCTATTTGACCTGCAAAATTGTCATTTTTTTGCCCTCAGGGCGAAAAGTGGCAACTTTCGTCCCGCTGCGCTAAACAAAGTTGCCGCTTTCCGCCTTCGTCGGACAAAAAAATAGTATACAGCCCTTAGGAAGTAAAAAAAGAAAACCTTCCCTGTTTAAAAATATTGATTGAAAAGAATTAAAAATGATAAAATTCGAATTCTTTTTAATAATTTCAATTCTTTTGTTTGTATATATAGATATACAATATTCATGGAGTGGCCGCTTTTCAATTCTTTTCAATCAGTATTTTTAACCAGGGTTAGATCACATGTTTGTTGACCTCGGCTTCGCCTCGACCAACGATTACATGTGATCTCAGGTTTTCTTATTTTCCTTTCCAAGAGATGTAATATACTATTTCAATCATTTTTAGTAATTTTACAGCGGTTGAAACCTACTTTGAATCAATTTCACGTAGGGTAAACGCAACTTAAGTGTGCCGCAGCACTTAAAATTCATAGTCGATCTTCATATAGAATGAATATGCGTTCCCGGGAAAAAATGATTAGGACTGATCAGACCTGTTCATATCTGATCAGGCCTGTTCATGTATGATCAGGCCTGATCAGACCTGTTCATGTCTGAACCGTTAAATACGCTCAGACCTGATCAGACCTGTCCATGCCTGTACTTGTCTGAACCGTTAAATACGCTCAGACCTGATCAAGCCTGCTCATGTCTGTTCATGCCTGTTCATGTCTGAAGCATTAAATACGCTCAGACCTGATCAGATCTGATCAAGCCTGTCCATGCCTGTTCATGTCTGAACCGTTAAATACGCGCTCAGACCTGATAAAGCCTGTTCATTTCTGTTCATGTCTGAAGCATTAAATACGCTCAGACCTGATCAGATCTGATCAGACCTGTCCATGTCTGATCATGTCTGATCTAAGCCTAAAATAAATAAGAATTAAAACTCCATATATCAGCTGACAAGAACTGTTCATGCATGATTTGCCCTCTTAAATGATATTTTAAGTCTGGAAGAAAAATTTTATCGAACTATAGACTGCAGTTCTATTTTTAAAATTAATTTGTTCCGTATGACGTATCAGTTTCTATCCCCTTATAAATTTCAAATGTACAACTTTCATCAAAAATTTCGGCTTATATAAGCATGAACTTTTTAATTTTCCATGCCAAAACGATAATTTTTAACGATGAATTTTGACGCAATGACATAAAATTTTTTACTGTGTTTCATTGAATACGCGAAAAATAAGATTATTTAGTAAAAGTTTGAGTTTGATAGCGTGAAAATACTAAAATATATCAGTTGATATCGATAGGCGATAAGTCCTTTCAAGGTGTCTGTTATTATCTTAAGCCGCGCCTTGGTCCATTGCAGTAGTGTCAAAGGCTGCTAAATTGTAGAACACACAAATAATTCTTCATTTCCTATACGTTTTAATTAAAAAAAAACTTCAATTTTAAAAGAAAACAATAAAATTATAATTAAGAAATAAATCTTGAAGAAATTTTTTTTTTACTTTACATAGAACCATATGTTAATAGAGCGAAAAAACTACATAGCCGTCCCAAATAAATCACTCTAATATATATAATTAATTATTACTAATTAATAAATTAAGTATAGAACTCCGTTAACTATAAGGATAAGTCATGTATAAAATTTAAATTACTTAAAGTAGTTTGAAAAGTACACTAGAGTCAAGATAAGTCATTGGGTCAACAGGTAAAGTATCAGTCTGAAGAGCCCAACGTACATGGTTCGAATCCCCGTCAGCATCAATCTTTTTTTTTTTTTATGGACCTGATCGAGTCAGACATGAACAGATCTGATCAGACATGAACATGCCTGGCCAGGTCTGATCAGACCCGGTCATTTTTCATATCTGATCAGACCCGAAGACTCATGTCTGTTCATATCTGATCATTTTTTCCCGGGTTATCAGTGTTTGTGAAGAATATAAGTTAATTAATTCATCTTATATTTGCTACAAACTCTTCCTTTGCTACCTTCCATCTCAAATGTGGCCGAATGGCGCTTTTTAGTAGATATAGAAATCTAACTATTGCATTGGTCCTCATGACGGAACTTTTGAAAATTTCTTTAAGATAAAGAAAAATAGATTGAGTACATTTTTGAAGCTTATATCTGTGATATTTTAATTTTTTAATTATTTTTACCTTTCCATGATTACTCGTTTAGTTTTAAAAGTATATCATATAGTAGATATCCAAGTTTTACCTTGGCACTAAGGCATAATAATTTTTAATCATACAACAGTGAAATGTAATAGAAAAATGAAATCAATTATCAATTTATTCTAAAAAACAATTGCTTACATCAATTTTTTGATAAATTAAATAACTTTAATCAAAACATTTTTACAGTTCATTCATATGCGCTATATATAAATATTTAATATAACCTCAAAAAGAAACATTAATGAATGAATGGAATCAATATAAATTTTGTATTGTATTCTAATTATGCACTTCACTAACTTCAAGATTCAAATCATTATCTCAAAAATATTTAAATTGGTGATTGTAGTTCTTGTAATAGTTTTATTAGAAACTATGGAATGTTTAGCATAATTACAATATGACCGAATTATTCGGTTATTGTAATAAAAGTTCACTAAATTCAACAGGCAATTTAAAATAAAAAACAAAAATAAATAAATGAATGACATGATAAATTAAAAAAGTTCAATTATCAGTAATTCATATTAATAATTAATTAAATAAATAGTAACAATACGAATTTTAATTAATTACAAACTGTTTGAATAATTGATTATTTTAATACTATTATTCTTGTATTCTTGCTGATGTAAAAGTTATTCCGCTGCATCAATCAGTTGTACATAAAAAGTCTAATAAAAAGTCATAATTTATTATTAACAAAAAAATCAAAAACTTAACATTCGCACCTTATCCTATGCATTCAACAGTATTAAAAATTTTGCGCCTGCACATTATCGTCATTTAAAACACATTATAACGATGCACTGTTATCAGCTCATTATAAATGCATTCTTTTCATCATTTGACACAGCTATATTTTTTCATTTATTAATTAATACTCTTAAATCTGAATAGTGGACAGATGTGAAAGTCTATTCTAATATTTTCTGAGGTATCGCATCATGTTTTAATTGTTTATTAACAAATTTTTAAAGATAATTTTTTTTTTTATAATTCATAACCGATTGTAGCTATTTTACATGTTTCGAAATCGATGATGTAAAATTAATTATTTGGTTTAAAATAGCCAAGAATGTTTTTTTTTTCGTTATCTTAAAAATGCTGTAAAGAATAATTTTTCCTAATCAGAAAAATATTCTAAAAAATTATGGTCTACGATATAACTATCTTAACAAAAAACACTATATATTTTAACTTGATACAATATCTTATAAAAAGTTATTAAACAAAGTAAAAGATAGATATGTGTATCACAAAGCCGGTGTTACTACTTTACAATTAACTCAGTACATTGTTTAATAAACAATATAAACCCTTTGATATTAAAAAAATGAATCGAAAAATATAATTCCTATTGATTTTATAATAATTTTTTTGAAATATCCAATTATTCTTTTAAGAAATGTACCTTACGATGAAACGGTAATTTAATAACTGCTAGCTGGATTTGCTAGATGTTACAATGCATCGTCGATGTTTACCATGTTGTTTGGGATGAGAATAGTTCTAGCTGCTTGTTGAGGCAATTGGGCTAACAGGACTTAAAGGACTTCGTGTTGAATCTCTGAGGCAGCCAGTCAATGTTACTATTAATTTTCTACTGCCAGCGTTATTTCTATGTTCACAAAACCATATGCCTTGCCACGTACCCAAAGCCAATTTTCCATCAGTGATAGGAATACTTAATGAAGAACCCAGAAAGCAAGCTTTTACATGTGCTGGCTAGAAAATAAAATTGTTGCTTAATAAAACTACAAATTATATACGTGTATATGTTATGAAATAATTAGAATTATTTATTATTCTCGTATCAAACCGAATATATTCACAGTATCATGTAACATTAGAATAATGAAAAATAACTTGATAATAATTATTTCTTTTACTAAACAATAGATCGTACAACCTTCTACTCCGACACTCTAAAGCCTTCTATCATTGTCGTTTTTTAAGCGTGGGAATTTTTCGAAAGGGGGTGATATCTTGACGTAACTTTTTAAAATTTTTCGAACGACCGATTTGAAGAATCTTCTCACTCTTTGAGTATCAAAAACTGCGTCAAATACAACAGAAAACATAGATTTATTCATATGTTATGAATATCTTTGAGTTAAAAAAACAATTAATATTTAGGTTTTTAGATTTTAGGTAAATTATTGTGAAACTATCGGTACTGGTATTTTAATTGTTTGAATATCTTGCTCTTTTAAAAGACCTGAATTTTATTATTCATATCGATTTTAATTATTATCCTCGTAATCACCACTATCACTGGTTGACAATTCTAATAACCATAAGATATAATATCAAAAATTATTTTTTATTAATACTGTATATATTTAATTCCTCTCATAACTTTTGTAATATCAACGTGTACAAAGCCGCTTGGCGTTTAAAATTTAATAAATAAATAAAATAAAATATCTTATTTGTAACATTTTGTTGTTGCCAGATAAAGACGTGCAATACCATAAATTTCTCAAAGAAGCTTTGACTTTAACAAATTTTGGGAAAAAATATAATGAATTTGTAACAGGGTAATATTACCCTTAATCGATAAATCGCCAGAGATCGATAACTTTTCGACTAGCACTGGTGCGCATCGATCTTCGGGCCTAGAGAGAAAGTAGGAGGGGGGTATTTTGGGGGTCGTTATATGGATGAGCCATGCGTTGTGTCGGGAGAAGTAGTGAAGTACTCAAACTAGTAACATCCAAAAGTCCAAGAAGGAAGCCCGGGAATTCTTCAAGCCAAATTAACACCAGGTATTAGGACTTTGATATTGATGAGCCGCGGGGCCAAATACTCGGCTCATCAAAATTACTACTTCTCATTTCCATTAATTGTTTTGAGTAATTCAATTGTTCAGTAATAATTTATTTATTAATAATTACACAATTAATTGCTAGTAATTCAACAATTCGTTAAATTCATTTTGATTCGTTAGTTGCTGTGAGCATTCTTCTTGGGGGTTTATACCCGAGGAATGTTCAAGACCTTGCGGTGTTATTTGTCGTGAGAAATTAATTATTAATTTGCTCGAGTAATAATTTTTAACATCTAAGAGATCGGTTTAGTTGCATTTATTTTTATTGATAAATTAAAACCGGATTATCAAACATCGAGAAAATTCCAACTGTCTGCTCACCGACTAGTCAAGCGTCGGTCGCATTACAACGCAATAACGTATACCCGAGGTCAAAGCTTTGTTACGCACTTACGAATGTCGGCGTCCATTTTGAGTGCCTAAATTCCTGGCAATTATATGACGCAGTAATTTATAAATTTAACAACTGAATTTGTTATTATTAAAATTACAACAATTGAATTATCATTATTGATATTATTTATTGGAAATCAATTTTAATTATTGAAAATTATTTAGTGAAATTACGGCGCAATTTAAGATTTATATACCCGGCGTGGATAATTTTCCGTAATTAATTTTTACATTAAGATACATTAATTGTTAATTAATTATTTATTCGGAAAATTCCACGCGGTTAATTTTATATTGAATTTAACTTTGGGAAAATAAATTTAATAATTTCAATTTCATCATCTTGCCAAAATTCCTTAGAATTTAATTTAACAAACGTGGATATTAAGTCCGGGAATTTATAATAAGTTAAAATAAATTGATGAAATTCTATAAGAATATTTTATATCGTTAATAGTTAATTTACGAGTAAAAATTGGAATAAATTGTCCATCCTATGTTCCGGAAATTTATTAAGCGTTGAGTATTAAACTCGTGGTAAATTTGGAATAAGTTTAGGCGTCGGTTTTAGTCCGGAATTTTTAAGAAGTAAATTATTAGTCGTGGAAATAATTTATAATTTTAATTGTTAGCTAATGACTGAATAATTAGGGGGAAATTAATGTAGTTAATTTTGGAAGTAAATTCTGTGATATTGTCCCATAATAAAATTGAGATGAAATGTATGTGGCATCAAACTATTCGTAACGTGATTGGTCGAATATATCATAAGCATGAAAATATTTGCAAACTCTATAGTCAAGCGCGCGCTTGCGCGCGAAAATTTGAATTCTAGTTATAAATAAAAGTAAAGTAAAATCAGTGTGTGTGTGACGCGTGGGTTATGTGTGTGAAGATCGCGTGGGTTATGTGTGCGTGTGTGTGAACAGCGTCCCCTCACATACGACAGTCTCTGTGTGAGGTGCTTCGCTGGCTACTTAGAGCGTGAGGGTCCGGTGGACAGCGCGATTTAGTTAGAAACTGCAGTATAGACGCTCCGTATGAGGGTACTGCAGGATTAAGACTTTTGATATTTTGTAAGGGGTATGAGTGTAAACGATCTCTACTTGTTGATGATTTGCCGAGTAGAGTAACAAATTTTTGTCGTGCGTGGACGCCGGGAGGGTCACGTGCTAGACAACAAATCCACCGAGGATACGTCGGGTGGTTAGTGGGTTGAGTCGTGGAGTTAGTTAGTTAAGTTACTGCGTTCTCTACTTGTTGATGAATTGCCGGGTAGAGGACTAGCAGTGTTGTTGAGGCGTTAGTTAGTTAAGTTACTACGTTCTCTGCTTGTTGATGTTTTGCCGAGCCGAGAACTAGTAGGGTTTAGTGTTAAGTTAGTTTTAAGTGAGTTAGTGTATGTGCGAGTGCACGAGTTGTTAAATTGTTTTGTTAAATAAATTTTGGATCCTTTGTTAAATAAAAATTTATTTATTTCAGATCACCTTCCTCCACTCTCTCTCCCTGTAGATTAAGCTCTCAGCTCTGGTTCCGGTTCCAGAAACCGTGTTACAAAATCCTGGTGGCGCCCTTTTTTTTATTAATTTAGAGTTATTTTGTTAGTTTATTATTTTTCAATTAATTTAATTAAGGGGCTAAATGAACAGTAAACAATCCCGTTACAAATTATAAAATTAAGTAATTAGAAAATATAAGTTAAAGTGGCGGAGGGGGGGGGGCTTCACCCACAACCCCCTTCCGGATTTCGCCTCTGGGCTCTATATTGTCCCTAATATGGATATTAAACTCATTGGATATATTTTATGGAGATTTTCGCCATTATTCCCTTGGATATTTTGACCGATTGATGATTCCTAGCATTCCAATAATAAATATCACAAATTAATTATTAAATTCACGATCTTACTATTTGAAATAGTATTAATTATCCATTGATTAATACCCTAAATTGACAATGTCTGCAGATGCATGCAGATCACTATTCCGGAAAATTAAATAACCGTATAAGGATCATAAATTTATATTCGTGTATGGATTAAAACAAAAAATAGAAGTAATGTCTATTTTCACAGGCTACCAGGGAGTACTGCAATCTCTACAATAAAGCTTCAATAATATCGACAAAAAAAATTAATATAAATATTACAAATCTAAGAGTGGGGCATACCAAAAAAATTTCTTATTATATCGATAAAGATATTTAAAAGAAATGCTTAAAATATCGAAGTCCAATGAAAACGTCTTATGGGATATTAGAATGTGCACATTCTAATGCAATGTTCATGTTACAATCATAAAAGAAAAACATGTATTTTCAATATTACACGTAAATCTTGGAAGTACCATATAAAATTACACTTAACCCTTTAGCGCTTAGTCTTGAAATCAAATTCTTTATTGTAACAAGTGCGGTAGGGATGTACATAAAAATATAAAAATTAACAGAAATTCGATATCAACCCATTTTTCAGCTACAACACTGTCAATGTCTGTCAATAAATGGGATTACAATCAGTGAAAAGGTACTGACGGTAACACTATTATTTTTGCGTTTTACTTACATAACACTAACTCGCGGTGCGTTAACAATTGTGATTCGCGCCCTCCCGACTTATCACACACGGAGATATTTTAAGACTCCCAGACGCTAAAGAGTTAAATTACATTATTGATGTATATAATAGTGTAAAAAATTTGAAATCATTTCATAATCTGTAACATACATTTAATAGAAATAAAATACCATGTGTTATCCAAAAATTATTTATAGATAAAGCTGTAAAAATTATTTTCCATATTTTAATTTTAACGAATATTAAAAGCTGTGGAATGATAAGGAAAAATTATTAGAAAATTAATCCAGATAATGTAAATGAAACTTCATAGGACCAAAAAGCTTTCCCAAACACCCTTAATTCTAGCTTAATGAGCCAATCTTCAGATAAGTGCAATACTATCCGAAAAGAACTCAGTACTGTGCCGAGAAATCTCAATTGTGTGACGACGTCAGACACCAGCACACGACTGAGTTACTCTTATCTCTGCACACTACTCAGTCGTGTGTAGACAGTAACCAGTCGTTTGCTGCATAATGTTCGCTGTTCTCCTAAAACACCTAACCTATAACGTCATCAATACATTACTGACTACTGTTCAAAATATCAACCAATGATGTTTCAATTTATCGTAAATCTACTAGGAAAGAGTGGAGTCACACTTACCATCTAAGAAATAAGCCTTAAAATTTATTAAAATTACTTCTATGGAATAACGGAAAGGAAATTATCTTATGCATCGAAATCTGAATTTACAAATTCAAAAATCGAAAGATAAAACGGAATAAAATTATTTTAAGAATAACTAATAAAATTATGAGTTTAACCGGAGTGACTCAATGTGTCGGGTCACGCCGGTCATAATTAATTATATTTTGAAAAATAAAAAAAAAATTGTATTGTTGGAACTTGATAACAATTTTAACTTTGTTGTTAAACAAAAATCGTAGAAGTAAAGAAAAATGAAAAATTAACAGTTAGTAACATTTGACTTCTTTTTTTCTTTTAGATTTTTATGTTATTAGGCGTGTCGTCAGTTGGGGACACTCTATTTTTTACATTTTATTTGAGTTTTTCAAGAGATTCATTAGTTTTTAGAATTTATTCTTCAACGTTATCAGACGATTCAATGTTTTTTATATTTTTAGTCGACTTTGTTTGGATTTTTTTTTTTCACTATCAATTTAATTTTTTTCATCGTCCAATTGTTGTTTCATAAGAGAGTTAGTTGAGATGATAGATTTTTGTTTACGTTTATTAGATTTTTTTAGAAACAGTAATGTTTAAGCATTGTTCCTATCATAACGATTTATAAAATCTTCAGTCAACATTTTTTTATTAGACTCAGTGAAAAAATGTTAGATTTTCATTGTCCAGTTTTAAGAAACTTTGTACCAGTTTAACTGGAGTAGCAAAATCAAGAATGTCTCTATCAATTGTATGGAAACAGAAGAGTTAGTTTTTAAAATTTCGATTTCTTCGGGTGGCACTGTTAAAATAGGAATATTTCTAATTTCAATTGTTTTTACATTGCTGGCTTGTAAATTTGAAATGTTACTAGTGTTGAGAGTTAAAGTTTCTATTAAAAAATTATTCTTCATGTTGATAGCTTCTTTCAATGTGACTGAAATCTTCTTCGTTAAAAGCTGGGATGCAGTTCATACTGATAGCTTGAGGCTTACAAATGGAAATTTTACGATCTCTAATGAACTTATAGAACCATTCCTTTTCTGTATATATTTTTAACATACTGGTAAGCGATACGTAATTCTTTTGATGGTGTAAGACCATTATGTAGCTTCGTCATTTCTTTCAACTGCTCTACCACAGCCTTTTCTTGGGTAGCAGTAAAGGTTGTTTTGCCTCCAATATCTGGTCGTGACAAATTAGGTTTTTTAGACGTTCTTGTAACGTGTGAATCGGGATCTTGTATGATTCAGATGTTTTTGGATTGGCATATCATATTTTATAGCCCTCATATCAGTAACGAGAGTTTCGGTCGTGCGGTTTTCTCTTTCAGTTTTCCAGATTCGTTTACGAGATATCTATAATTTATTTATTTAATTAAATTTATTTATAAAAATAGAAATATTGAAAATTATATTATGTGAATGTTTTGAATTTTGAATTTGAAATTTTAAGAAAACTTACCTCAATAAATTAATCATTATGAATTTTATAACTAATAATAAAAAATATTATTTAGTTCCATTTAATAAACACGTCAATTGTCAGTTGAAAAACAATTGATGAAATTAATCGGTATGATTCTAACTGATATTCGAGAAGATGGACTTTATTTAAGAAAAACTGGTTGATACTTACGTTATAATAAAAATTACAAGAAATGGAGAAATGTTTGTTGATTAGATACATATCAATTATATACTTTTTTCTTACAATAAAATGTATTCAAAACCTTACGATAATGATAGCGATTTATAGATCAAATGTCAATCAATTACTTAATTATTAATCATTTTTATTAAATAACTTATGTTTAAATTTTAAAATAATTAATTACTCGTAATTAAATCAGAGCAAAAAATAAAATTAAATAAAAAATTTAATGTATGATAGATTTTTTGAAATTTTCGAGACCGAGTTCACAATCCTTTACTATAAGTTTTATTTTCTCCGTGTAGACAAATCAGTTAAATAACGAGGGGATTTTGGAATATATTTTTTTTTTATCTTCAATTATACTTCTTTCTTATAATTTTAATCAAAAATAAGTTCATTGTATTGTACTTGAATAAAAATATTGAAGCTATAGCATATTATTAGAAAAATAGAACTTTTTTATAAAGTTACGTCACAGGAGACTGATCAAAATTAAGATTTTAATCCATATATCGATTTTTTTGTTAATTTTTTTAAACGTGGGATATGCCTAAACAAGAAATGACTTTTCTTTAAATACTTTAGTAACGATATATGTAATGTTATAAATATAGAGACTTGTATAGGACTAATTTCTCTGTAGAATTATAATAAAATTTGTTTTTGCTTAAGTTATCATGAATTGTTTACTCAACAGCAACACACAATTTTTAATGATTAATGTTTTGATTAAAAATTCCAATGGGGCACAAAAAAAATTCAATTAAAAACTGTTTTTCAATTTAGTTTCATTGAATTTTAACTATTTTCATTCAATTATGCCTTTCAGTATGTTTATTCTGCAGAAATTTTCGTTATTTTTCTGCGTTAACCCTATAGCTGCAGTACAATTAAATTATTGATACGAAGTTTACACAGAAAAAAACAATACACATTCAAATAATAATTATAAATGTATCTATAAGGTAAAAGACCCAGTTATTGACACTGGCCTAGTTATTGACACTTGCAATTTTATTTTAATTAAATAAAACAAATCGACTTTGATAAATTAATAAATATAATTTTTGAATTATGAATTTTAAGATAATTGGTTTTTTGAAAACATTTTATTTGTTTAATTAGAATAAAATTGCAAGTGTCAATCAACCAGGCCAGTATCAATAACTGGGTCTTTTACCTTCTATTTGTACACAGAAAAAAAATTTGTGGCTTTAGAATAAATATTCTTGACACAAGAGCATAATAGAAAAGAGAATTAGTATTTTGAATGAAATAAAATGTTCTTGTCTAAAGAATAATTATACTTTGGACACAGCTATATCAACCTTATCTGCAAGGTTTCTTGGTTCAAGTAAACCTTTTTTTTTTTTGTGTAGCTTAAAAGTATATTTACCAAATGTAATGCTCATATAAATGTCTAAGAGCTTACCATATCATCAGGACCTTCACAACTATGCCTGTATGGCATTTCTTCAGGAATGATTTTATTTAACATCATTTCCATGTCATCCCTCACATCAGGATCCCAACTTTCGTTAAGTGCAAGACTTGCCGAAGTATGAAGAACTACAATTAAAACAGATAAATTGTAAATTATATAGTTTTAACTATATATATTATTTAAATTTTTTTATTGAGTTACTTTGAATATGACATAGACCAATTGAAAATTGGCTAAGTTCTGGAATTTGTCTTAATATTTCTTCTGTTACAAGATGAACACCTCGATGCTGAGGCCGAAGATTTATTTTTCTTTGGAACCAAGCGGAGCCTGTTTGTATACCTATATTCGATGAGGCCATTATAAACAAATGGCTCGAAAATTTATAACGTCAATTATCCTGATGACGAAAACTCACTGAAGTATTTATAAAACGATTGACTTATTTATTCGGTAGAATAAAAGAACAATATAGTTGACGTATATTTTTTAGTATAACAAGTTTATAATGTTACTTAAAAGTAACAAGGGCGGCAATAAAAATTATAAACACAGTGATGATATAAAAACACTCCATTAAACCGCAACCAAAATATTATTTGTCAACGATAAAATTTATCAGTTGTGAACGTAATAATTCATTTTTTCGAGATAATATTTATTAAGCTAAATTTGAAATTTTTAATCTAGCAATGAATAATAAAATATAACCTGACCACAAAGAACTATTCAAAAAGGTTAAGACTGACGGCAACTTACAATATTAAATACATAATCATAGACCATGAATTTACAAATCAAAGATAAATGAAATGACTAGTAACATAAAGAAGTATTTTAGGGTTTCATACAGGAAAATTTTTATTGTGTATATGCTCGTCGTCATAAATACTTATATACTCATTGTAAAAAAAGTAATCAGCTCATTTTAGCAAAAAATACTATTGCAATATTCCATAAGATGTCTCACCGACTGCAACGAATTAGGACCTGTCCCCTAATTTTCAGTTTTCTTAGAGGAAGGAAATTTATCTCGGGAAGAGGTCGATTACCTACAGACCAATGAGTTAGATTACCGGTGACTTAGATTCCGATTACCTAGATTTCCATAACCCAGAATCCGATTACCCAAATTATCAATGACGTAGAATTCCTATGGGGTAGATTACCGATTACCTAGAATCCCGATTACTTAGAATCCGATTGCCTAGAAATTTGATTGGATATAATTCCGATTACACTGAAATCCGATTGCCTATAATTCTGATAACACAATCCCTATCGCATAGATTTCTTATACCTTGACAAAAAAAAGTTAATCTGGATAGATGGCGCCATATGTAACAAAACTTTCATTTCATTTATGGAGGGTAGAGGTAAGGAGAACCGTCTCATAGGGGGAAAGTTGAAAAAGTGTCCAGCTGTATGCTGAGAATAAAGTTTCCATTACCTACCAGAATAGCGCTGGCGTTCGAGTAGTTTCAATATGAACATAGCTGTTATAAATGGAGTGAAGTTTGCTCAGTTCAAATATTTAAAAATTTTAATGACTCGAGTAGTTAGTAAAATGCTAGTATACAAAACCTCAACTATTTACGTAGTCTAAAAAATGTTTTAGTAAATATAAACAAAATACTGCAGAGAGAAAGCGTAATTTTATTAATGTGAATTTTTTAAATAATTATCAGTGATTTTATTGTGGTGATAGTTATTAAACGATATAAAATAATGGGAAAAAGTTGTATTGTGAAAAGTTGTCCTAGTGGACGCAAACTAAAAACTACAAAAAACGATTCGTCTCAGCGTCTGTCTTTTTCCAACCTTCTGTACGTTGAGTAATTTACTTTGAATTATTTATTTATTTTACGACACCCTGATTAAAAAATCAAATTTAAAACAATTCAATCTATGCAATGTGTATATTTAAATAGTATTTAACTCGAAAAATTTTTATTTCAAATTGTTTTTTACTCATTTCAAATGAGATTTATTAATCAGGGTTTAACGCTTCTTTAATGTTCAATCAACACATTTATATTTTAGTATTATATAAATTTATATTCACAGACACCGGCAAGATTAGACAAGTGGCAAAAGTGTTTGGGTATTAAATTAAAAGCCACTAATAATATTTGCCATCTTCATTTTAAAGAAGAACATATAAAATTGTACGACAAGTTTATCATTAATGGAGAGGTCAAGATTTTTCAAACAGTGAAAAAAAAGCTAAAACCTGAAGCAGGAATTCCAGGTACAATATAAAGTAATGGTATGTCCTGTAAAGCACAGAAGATTATTATAAATAATGTTATTGGTGTTACAGACCCCTTAT